TTATTGTTTTTATTATTATTATTGTTGTTATTATTATTATTATTATTATTATTATTATTATTATTATTATTATTATTATTATTATTGTTACTGTTATTGTTGTAATTATTATTATTGTTACTGTTATTGTTGTAATTATTATTATTATTATTATTGTTGGTGTTATTATTATTATTATTATTATTACCTGGTAGGAGGTGTTGTGCCATACCTGAAATGCTTGTAGATTTCCCTATTTTATTTTTAGGGTAAATATCTATATACACAATAATAAGATTAATAACAAATAATAATAATAATAATAATCATAATAATAATAATAATAATAATAATAATCCACCTTAATCATTCTTATTCCCTGTATTACAAATTACTCATCGTATTATTAGTGTTGATAGTCGCACTAATACAATGCTATAATCACCATCATTATCTGTAGTCTTATTACCGAAGAGTTTAGTAGTATTAGTAGCGTATCATTACCATCACTAATACCACCATAAAAACAATGGTAAAAACCCTGCCCCGGCGGATATGTTTACGGCGGCGACGGTAGAGACAGACTGTGAAGTTAGCTGTAGAAAATTTCCCTTTATAAGCTTTGAGGCCACCACGTCATCATCACCATGGTAACCCACGACGCGCCAAACAATGCGCGCGCAGGAGTATCAACAAAGGGAGGATAGTTAAAATTTCATGGCGTTTTGACGGGTTGAATGGACAATAAAAGTGAGGCTGTATGAAGGGAATTGTGTCGTAGTGATGTAGGAAGGATTATATCTCTCATTATCTCTCAGTATATCACGAAAGGAGTAGAGAGAGAGAGAGAGAGAGAGAAACACTGATGAGACACAAGTTTGTTATTTTGAATATATTCGTAGTTGATCTAACAGTCTAGTTCCTTCGTTAACAGCAATGTCGTGCTAATTAATTTTTCCAACATTTAATTTTGGTTTTAATACTTTTACAATTTGATGTAATAATGGAAACACTACAAACAAAATATTCATCTTTGTAAACAACTGGTTATGTTCCTTTTACACACTCACCTGCACATAATGAAGCTTCCCTGGCCAAGGTAAACAACTACTACTACCTCCATATGTCGTCTACTTCACCACGTAAACAACCAACACAACACAAACATCACCACCCATAAACAGTCTTAGTCCATTTGTGGTATAATTTTTTTTTTGGGGGGGGGGGGGAACGTCTCCATGAAATTGAGGTGAAGTAGAAGAGTTTATGGAGGGACAATGTGTACCAGATGGGGAGTGAGGTAATGGTGATGATGGAATGTTAAAGGCGCTATAAACACGTCACTATATCGATGATCTCTGCGCCATAGTGTTTTTTCTGTAGGGTGGTATGACCTCTTGAAGCTCGGTGTAAATTAGAAAGTTTCATAAAGGCATTTGACTCATCTCTTCCGACGTCATTTATAAACACTAACACCCATACATCTGAGATATCTTAGTGATCTAGGAACACTTTGATAACATAAAGACGGTAAATTAATAAAAGAATGTTCACTACTGTTTTTACTGAATCAAAAATTATATTATATTTTCGTGGGGTATTTAGATTAATGTAGAAAATTTATATCAGAGTTTTATTTCAATCTAGATTCATATTATTTCGAAAATTATAAAGTTGTTTGTCTATGAATATCAAATTAATATCGTTAACAATAATAATAATAATAATAATAATAATAATAATAATATTAGATATATTAAATAAAAGAATATAGTAATGTTAATGATAAAATTAAAAGAATGAGAAACAATAAAACAATATCAATACAATATAAATACTACTGGTAAAATAACATTAGTAATAATAACAAAAATACAGTAATTATCATCATAGAAAATTATCGTTATAGTTACATATATAATTTTAATCATTACTATTATTACAATTATATAAAATGAACAGTACCATCAGGAGAAAATTTTTATTATTATTATTATTATTATCATTATTATTATTATTGTTATTATTATTATTATTATTACTGTATTATTATTATTATTATTATTATTAATATTATTATTATTATTATTATTATTATTAATATTATTATTATTATCATACGTGGCAGCAGCAGCAGCAGTAGCAATATTTCCATCATTATAAACACTAATAATATTATCATTAACAACATCAGCACTATAACCCGTTTAATAACAACACCTATAATACTACATAATAACACGTGTGCCATAATTTATCGATATCAGATAACTTACTTATCTTAGGTGATTGATTCTACCTGTACAGAACGGCAAACAATATGATTTACCTGTATACAATATAGGTAAACAACATGATTTACCTGTATATAATATAGGTAAACAACATGATTTACCTGTATAGTGTTCATTGATGTATGTATAGATGTGACGTATAGGCCTATAGTGTGCAATGGCTGACAGGTCCATAACATATTGTTTTTCATTTGTAATTTGAGAAGGAGTTAGTTGGTGTGTGTGTGTGTGTGTGTGTGTGTGTGTGTGTGTGTGTGTGTGTGTGTGTTTGTAAAATGGCCATTCTTATGTAACCTGGATATGAACGTAATGGGTGTAACCTAACCTAACCTAACCTAATTCGTTACACTATTTCGCTAAAACCTACGAAAAAAACCCACCCTCTTTTTATGTAATTCGTTATATCACAACACCTAAGGTAATACTCAGCATCGTTGTATATGATAATTCGTTATTATGGCGCAGCACCACAACGATACCTTTACGATTCGTTATGGCGGACCACCACAGCGAAGTCAAGCAACGAACGACTTTTAAAGAGAATTATTAACGTGTTGAATCACCTCGTTAACACTTAAGAGATATATTATGTAGAAATTGATTACTTTCTCTCTCTATTAATCTGTCAGTCAGTCAGTCAATCAGTCAGTCATTTCATCAATTCTTCATCCAATCATCAACCAATTAACCAACCAACGAATCAACCAATTAACCAACCAATCACCAAATCAATCAAACAACCAACCAATCAACCAATAAACCAGCCAATCAACCAACCAACCAACCAATCATCAATCAACCAATCATCAATCACCCAACCAATCAACCAGTAAACCAACCAACCAACCAATCATCAATCAACCATTCATCAATCACCCAACCAATCAACCAACCAACCAGTAAACCAATCAACCAACCAATCAACTAACCAACCAATCAACTAACCAACCAACCAATCAACCAATCAATCCCTCTATACGTGAATAATAGAACGAAACAAACACACAATTTATCGCTCTTAAAAAAAAAACATCAATAAGAAAAACAAACGAACAATAAATTATGAAATAAACAACGAGAAAAAAACCAGAAACTTGATAATTAGTGGAAACAAAAGTGGGAATAATAAGGAAAATAATAAGTCTCATAAAATAATTAAAGGTGTTGAATCAGGAAAATAAAAGAGGAAAATAAAATATCCCGTTTGTATTAATTATTGTTTCCTCTGTCTGTCTGTCTATCTGTCTGTCTATCTGTCTGTCTATCTGTCTGTCTGTCTGTCTGTCTATCTGGTCTCTATATCTCGTTTGACAGAGGAGAGAGCAACGGATCTCTCTCTCTCTCTCTCTCTCTCTCTCTCTCTCTCTCTCTCTCTCTCTCTCTCTCTCTCTCTCTCTCGTCCAGGAAAGAGAGAAGAATAAAAATCACTAAAATAATTAACAAATGAAAAAAAAAAATACAATTGATTAATTTTTACATTAATACGAAAATACAACTAATAATAAATACACTATACATTCATACACACACAAGATAAAATAACAAAGAAAGATAACGATAAATTTGACACAATAAAATCTATGTAGTAAAGTACAGTAAAGTAGAACAACATATAACTAATTTAAATGACAGTTTAGTGGATTAATTACAGTGTATTTTGTAGTTTTCGGGGTAATTAAGGTGTAATTTAAAACCTCGCCCGGATTAGCAAAGGTTATTAATGTTAATTTTCTCTTCTAACTGATGCTAAGTGAACGTTTCTAGTTAAGGTAGAGTCTCAGTGTTAATTTTGTCTCCTAACTGGTGCTAAGTGAACATAGTTATCTAATTTCGTTTCCTAACTAGTGCTAAATGAACGTATCTAGCAAATTTTGTCTCCTAACTGATGCCAAGTGAACATATTTATCTAATTTCGTTTCCTAACTGGCGCTAAGTGAACGTATCTAGCAAATTTTGTCTCCTAACTAGTGCTAAGTGAACGTATCTAGCAAATTTTGTCTCCTAACTGGTGCTAAGTGAACGTGAGAAGTGAATTTTGTCTCCTAACTGGTGCTAAGTGAACGTGAGAAGTGAATTTCGTCTCCTAACTGGTGCTAAGTGAACGTATTCATTAATTTTGTCCCTAACTGGTGCTAAGGGAACATATTTATCTAATTTCGTTCCTAACTGGAAAAGCAAATGAACGCAAGAAGCGAATTTTGACTAACTGATGCTAAGTGAACGTATCTAGCAAATTTTTTCTCCTAACTAGTGCTAAGTGAACGTATCTCGTAAATTTTGACTCCTAACTCATGCTAAGTGAACGTATCTAGCAAATTTTGTCTCCTAACTGGTGCTAAGTGAACATATTTATCTAATTTCGTTTCCTAACTGGTGCTAAATGAACGAAAGAAGCTAATTTTGACTCCTAACTGATGCTAAGTGAACGTATCTAGCAAATTTTTATATCCTAACTGGTGCTAAGTGAACGTAGCTAGCAAATTTTATATCCTAACTGGTGCTAAATGAACGTATCTAGCTAACTGTGTCTCCTAACTGGTGCTAAGTGATCGTATCTAGCAAATTTTGTCTCCTAACTGGTGCTAAGTGAATGTATCTAGTTAAGGTATAGAGTCTCAGTGTAATTTTAGTGTCATTTTGAAGGCGTTTCTCGTGTTATGTGTGAAGGCAGCCCAAGTAAGAAGCGTTATTTCATTTTCAGTGACGAGGAAAATTGAATATACGAACCTTTGAGAACCCGGAACCAGGAAACTGAATAGAAAAACATATATAAAATGTAAATATAAGTTAAAGACAAAAAATAAGTATTGTTATGATATATTTTTTTAATGCAATGAAGGATAAGAAGAAGAAGAAGAAGATAGGAGAAAATAGAAAGAAGATATAAAGAAGAAGGAGAAGATAAAAGATAGAAGAAGATAGAAGAAGAAAAAGAAGATAGAACAAGATAGATGAAGAAGATAGAAGAAGAAGAAGATATAAGATAGAATACAAAAAAAACGAAAAGCTAAAGAATAAAAAACAGAAAAATAAAAAAAACAAGACGAAAACAAGAAAATTTTAAAAATGACAAAAATTCTCCTACAAATCTATTTTACACAAACACACGAACGATAACATAACAAGAAAATAAAACACACCTAAAACCTCCAGTAGTATAAAAATAAACCAAGGATAAAACTAGTGTTAAAACAGGAGCGGAAACTCATAAACCCGTGTTAAAACATTAATTAAATGGAGCTGAATTTTAACACACTGGGATACTTAACGTAATTCGATGTCATTTCTAGTCAGGTAAAAAAAAAGAGGAAATGAAGTGAAGTGAAGCAGTGAGTGTGATAAGTGAAACTGAGAGTATTGTAAGTGAAACGGTGAGGATTGTAAGTGAAACGGTGAGGATTGTAAGTGAAACGGGTAATGTTGGAAGTGAAAAATACTACACACGATACAAAAAATCTTTAAAAAATATGATTAATGGAAAAAAAATAAAAAATAAAAAAATTATATATATATATATATATATATATATATATATATATATATATATATATATATATATATATATATATATATATATATATATATATATATATATATATATATATATATATATATATATATGACGAAAACAAAATATAATGTTGAAACAAATTCAATTCAATAACAAAAATCAAAATTAAAAAAAAAAAATCATACAAAACTAAAACGATAATAATTATAAACAAAGTATCAAAAAGTATTATAATATTACAAAATGTTCAAGAAAGTATTAAAGAAGAAAATAAATATTGTACATTAAAAGATACAAACATATTACAATAAATTTTGTTTACAAATAAACGATATACCTCAAGTGAATTAAGACAATGTTTATATAACTTTAATAACAGAATTACTTGAGGTGAACCTTCGTTAGTAGTTAAGACTTGAAGTACCTTTGTTAGATAGTTGGCAGTAGTTAGGTTCACTTTAAATAAGAAGAGCATGTGTGTGTGTGTGTGTGTGTGTGTGTGTGTGTGTGTGTGTGTGTGTGTGTGTGTGTGTGTGTGTGTGTGAGTGCCTGTGTGTGTGTGTGTGTGTGTGTGTGTGTGTGTGTGTGTGTGTGTGTGTGTGTGTGTATGTGTGTGTGTGTGTGTGTGTGTGTGTGTATGGTGCCTGTGTGTGTGTGTGTGTGTGTGTGTGCCTGTGTGTATGTATGTGTGTGTGTGTGTGTGTGTGTGTGTGTGTGTGTGTGTGTGTGTGTGTGTGTGTGTGTGTGTGTGGTGCCTGTGTGTATGTGTGTGTGTGTGCCTGTGTGTATGTGTGTGTGTGTGTGTGTGTGTGTGTGTGTGTGTGTGTGTGTGTGTGTGTGTGTGTGTGCCTGTGTGTGTGTGTGTGTGTGTGGTGCTGTGTGTGTGTGTGTGTGTGTGTGTGTGTGCATTAAAATAATAGAAAAATTACATTAATAGATCCGGGAGAAATAAAATTATAGTAAATAACACAAGAGGGAGGAGTCGACACCTGTTATAAGCTAATTATGTAATTAGTGAGCCCAGGTGAGGGACTAGGTGAGGGACTAGGTGGGAACCAGGTGATTAGGAAGGGACTAGGTGAGGGACTAGGTGAGGGACTAGGTGATTAAGTGACGGACTAGGTGAGAACCGGTGATTGGGTAAGGGACTAGGTGATTAGGTAAGGGACTAGGTGATTAAGGTGGGGACTAGGTGAGGGACTAGGTGATTAAGTGAGGGACTAGGTGATTAAGTGACGGACTAGGTGAGGAACCAGGTGATTAGGTAAGGGACTAGGTGATTAAGTGAGGGACTAGGTGAGGACTGGTGATTAAGTGAGGGACTAGGTGATTAAGTGACGGACTAGGTGAGGAACAGGTGATTAGGTAAGGGACTAGGTGATTAAGTGAGGGACTAGGTGATTAAGTGACGGACTAGGTGATTAAGTGACGGACTAGGTGATTAAGTGACGGACTAGGTGAGGAACCAGGTGGGTAAGGGACTAGGTGTTAAGTGAGGGACTAGGTGATTAAGTGAGGGACTAGGTGAGGGACTAGGTAAGGGACTGGTGACGGACTAGGTGACGGACTAGGTGAGGACAGGTGACGGACTAGGTGAGGGACAGGTGACGGACTGGGTGACGGACTGGGTGAGGGTAGGTGATTAGGTAAGGGACTAGGTGATTATGTGAGGGACTAGGTGATTAAGTGACGGACTAGGTGATTAAGTGACGGACTAGGTGATTAAGTGACGGACTAGGTGAGGAACCAGGTGATTAGGTAAGGGACTAGGTGATTAAGTGAGGGACTAGGTGATTAAGTGAGGGACTAGGTGAGGGACTAGGTAGGGGACTAGGTGAGGGACTAGGTGACGGACTAGGTGAGGGACTAGGTGACGGACTAGGTGAGGGACTAGGTGACGGATGGGTGAGGGACTAGGTGACGGACTAGGTGAGGGATGGTGACGGACTAGGTGAGGACTAGGTGAGGGACTAGGTGAGGGACTAGGTGAGGGACTAGGTGAATGCCGAGATGAAGGCGTAAGACCATTGGTGTATGTGCTACTGGACGAGGAATGAGGGACCGATAAGTGTAGGAGTGACGATGAGTGACGCTGGCTGATGTGAGTGACGACAAATGACGAAGGGTGACGCTAGTTAATATGAATGACACTAGCTGAGAATGAGTGACGAATGACGATGAGTGACGCTGGCTGATGTGAGTGACGATGAATGACGAAAAGTGACGCTAGCCCATGTAAGTAGCAATGGGGAGTTCCTTTGAGCGTTGAGGGACGATAAGTAACGAGTCAGAGTGACTATGAGTAACGACAGCTAACGCCAAGTAACGCTGAGTCAACCTAAGTTAACTGTAACTGACACTCGGTAACGCTGACCATTACAAACTGACATAAACGATGACTGATGACTTAAGACTCCGCGAGGTGGCGCTAGTTAACGCTTCCCAACGCTGAAGTCAACTAAACGACCGAAGTTAACGATCGTTGGTGCCAAGTAACGCTAAATGGTGCCACGTAACGCTAAATGGTGCCAAGTAACGCTAAATGGTGCCACGTAACGCTAAATGGTACCAAGTAACGCTAAATGGTGCCACGTAACGCTAAATGGTGCCAAGTAACGCTAAATGGTGCCACGTAACGCTAAATGGTGCCAAGTAACGCTAAATGGTGCCAAGTAACGCTAAATGGTGTCAAGTAACGCTAAATGGTGCCAAGTAACTCTAAGTAACGCTAAATGGTGCCAAGTAACTCTAAGTAACGCTAAGTAACATCCGCCCGACAATTCGTTAAAATAAACAAAGCCAATAAGTCCATATAAACGCTCCTCAGCGATGTAAAATTAAGAGAGGAAAAAGCTGTTAACATTATGCGTATATACCTGTCAAATATACCTGTCTATTTACCTGTCAAATATACCTGTGATATATACCTGTCATTATATACAAGACCCGGGAGAATTACTGATTATTGTCATGTTAATATTTTTCAAAGACTAAGTAAGTTAAATTTGAGGCCAGAGAGTGATAGAATATGGTGAAAATAATAGTGATTAATAGTGTTTAGAATAATAGTAACAATAGTAATAATAGAAAAAACTAATAGCAATATAATAATAAACGCTATTCTACAAAAGACACATACAGTATATATTACTTTAAGAAAAAATACAAATTAATAACTGTAACTATCTAACTAACTACAGACGCTAATCACCATTTATCATTAAGTATCAGGTAACGTCTGTGTATAAATGACAAGTTTATTTTATTACGTAATTTTTATTTTATTTTTAGCGGCGTCGATGTAAAGATGAAGTGAAAGATTATTGCCACTTAAAATATCTCCCTTGTGCCTCTAACTTATACTTACGGGGGGTTAGCTTAGGTTAGGTTAGGTTAGGTTAGATTAAGGCTAGGCTAGGTTAGGTTAAGGCTAGGCTAGGTTAGGTTAAGGCTAGGCTAGGTTAGGTTAAGTTAAGGCTAGGCTAGGTTAGGTTAGGTTGAGGCTAGGCTAGGTTAGGTTAGGTTAAGGCTAGGCTAGGCTAGGTTAGGTTAGGTTAAGGCTAGGCTAGGTTAGGCATAGGTTAGGTTAGTGTATTAATGGTGTATTATGAAACGACTTTGTGTTTGTATGGTTAAATTTCTATGGCTCAGGTGTACTCGCTCAAGGTCCCTGTACTGTACGCTTACCTGTGGTGTGTGTGAGGTGAGGTGAAGGGGTAGGTGGGTAGGTGGGTAAGAGGGTAGAAGGGTAAGAACGAGCCAAACTGGTTAACTCAAGCTGAGGAACGGTGAACAGTCGTCCCACAAAAATAGGCTATGTGGTGTAATCTTCTCGAGGAACCAGCCCTTGGAGGTGATAGGTGGGGGGAGTTAGGGGTGGTAGTGGTGGGGTGTGGGTAGTGGTGGTAGGGGTGTGGTAGAGTGGTGGTAGGGGTGTGGTAGTGGTGGGGTGTGGTAGTGGTGGTAGTGGTGGTAGGGGTGTGGTAGTGGTGGTAGGGATGTGGTAGTGGTGGTGAAGGAGATGGAGGGTGTGGTAGAGGTATAGTGGTGGTGTTGGTGGTGGTGGTGAGGTTCCTTAACTAATCTATAACCTACAATGTGGAGTTGATGACGATCCTCTTCCACTCATCCACCTTCATCCACTTCATTTTCATCCACCATTTTATGTAACCTCGTATTCACTATTCAATCAGTCATTCACCTTATACTCCGTCATCCACCACTCAGTTCACCTCATCCA